ATACTCATTAAAGCCGTCCACACCTCTTCCTCCACAATAGGCCCCTGTAACTGTTCCCTGTCGTCCCTGTCCAGCACACTCCACACCCATCCCCCTCTCTCACACCCACACTCCTCATATGTGCACTAAGCCAAGAATCAACATACCCTCCCATCCCCTCCGTCGTCACCAAATCTTGTCCCTCCCTAACCCCTCGATGTCCTCAAGAACTCTCAACCCACCATTTCCATTGCAACACGCTGGCGCCCCTGCCCTCGTAGGACACACGCCGATGGTCTATCACCCCACATGACCTCCTCCAATCCCCCTAAAACCCTTGCCGCATCAAACCTCTCATTTTGATTCCATTAGGCGTTCCTTCACTCCTTCTATGTCAGCCACAGGGCTCCATCCCCCCCATTCCTCTCTCATAATACTCCCTTAACTGCCCTCAAGATACTAATAAGCCCCTAAGCCAACTGATTCTCGTGCCTTCCCTGTCGGACATAGAACTCTTGAATCCTTGTCTTCGCCGTCACATCCCACCATCTCAACACATCCCCATTGACTTCCATCCCTTCCCATAAGCCTTTCCACCATTGTGCAAATAGGACCCTCCCCTCAACATCTTGAAGCAACCGGGAACATTCAATTTCCAATAACTCTTATACCTGTTCGGCCGACCCCCCCATCCCAAATCCACAAAACACCTCTATGATCAGAAAAAAGACATCCAAAAACCCTTACACTCCGCACCACAGCTTTCCTTGTCACGTATATCCTGTCCAACCATGGGAGCATACCCCCGCCTCAAGGTGTGCCCGCACCTCCCACGCTGCCCTCCCTCTACATCCACCAACCCCACCCGGTTAACAGGTCCCTCAGAACGCCAGAACAATATCCTGCTCCTAGGTTCCCATCCTTGCGGCGTATAAAGCAATTCCAGTCCCCTCCCACCACAGCTAATGCTGGAAGCGACCCTTTAAATGATTACACCAACACTTCACGTACAAACTCATTCTTCAATCGACTGTCCCCTCCGCCGGACCATAAACACACACAAAAGACATCTTATCTCTTCCCCATGTCCCATCCACTCTTATAACCCCCCCCTCACCCCCTCCTCACAATGATGTACAGTAAATGGGCTAGCCTCCCCAAACCCAAAAAAGCCACTCCCTTTCAATCTTGTTGAGTGTGCCGCATATACAGTATACCCCTCAGTCATCAACATACAACCCTGCTTGTGGTTGTGCTCTTGCACAAACTAATCTACACCATACCTAATGAGATCTCATGAAACCATTCACACTTCCTAGAATTTTTTAGACCATTAACATTTATAGAGAGACTCTTGAATTTGTCAATGGAGGTTTTCCTTTACGTATTGCACCACCTTTATCCCCCTTCCCCCTTTTTTATGCCCTTGATCTTCAATCACCATTCTGGATCTGCTTTCACATGCCCCTTGCCCCTGGACCCCCCAGGTCCATGCTCAACCACTTCAGCCCAAACCTTTTTTGCCCGAACGCTGTGCCGGAGTGAGCACATCCACATGTCCACGTCCGAGGGCACTGCCACTCTTCCGTGACACTCGAGCCTTTCTCCCCGCCTCCACCTGGAAGCCATCCCCGTGCACTTCCGCCACCACCGTACCAATTTGCAACCCAGCCAAACCTGGGTCTCTGACATGCCTCCCCCCCTCTCACCACCTGGAAACCCAGCAGCATCCAGGGCACCCCCCAAGCCCCTAACTGTGACCTCTCCTGGGTCCCTAACAGGCTGGAGGATGAATCAATGGTTGCCCCACGGCCCTTCCTCACCCGTACAACCCCTTTGGTCTCCGGTCCCCGCATGCCTGTCTCTCTCGGAAGGTTACACACTCTCCCCCTCAGGCCCCCCTCGACCTCCACACCCAAGCCTTTTCAAGGAAACCGCTCAGGTCTGCCAATCCAACTCTCAGGTCCTCTGATGCCTCCTTGCTGCCCTTCGCCTGTGTACCCTGTTTTTACACACTGCGCAGGATGTGATCATAGGCAAACCGCCAAATCGACAGGTACGTTGTTGCCTGCGTAAGTCACCGAAATTGGAAGGAATAGGATGCCTCAAGTAATTTTTAAGGAAAATTCCTTCAGGCATCCCAGAATACGATCCTTCCTTCCATTTCCCAAGTCGCCATTGAACGTCCCAAACTTCTCGAAGACGGACGAAGGTCTGCCTCCCTTACCTTCAAAGGGTACATTTCTTATCTTTACCCACGTATAATTGGCGGGACCATTATGTAGCCTTACGCCCCTGGCAGGATCACATGGTACACAAGAACTTGGAACCTGGCGACTATGTCCTCAATTCACTTGCTTGAGAAATTTCACAAAAATTATATGCCGTTCAAGGCAACAACACTCTTCGTTGGCAATGCCGTAAATTCCTGATTGAAGGTAAAAAACTTGAGCTGAGTGGCATGCACAGCCCACGCACCACTTCTATGCCGACCGTGCTTACCCTTCTTGCCTGCTGCGCCATTTTGAGAAAACCAAGTTGTCACCGGCTGACAGCAGAGGGCAGGCTCAGCTCACGTCCGCTCGTCCCAAAGGTTGAGCGACGAATGATCATATTGGCAACCATCACCACCTACCTGACCCACAGTCAGGTCATTCCAGTTCAGTCCACCCAGGTAATTTTCAGTCCTATGAAATCAGCCAAGCGGAAGTCAGGGACAGAGACTTGATTGCCATTACTAGGGTAATTCCATGATATATTAAATCTGAGTGATTTGTGATCACTTTCCCCAAGTTCGTCATTAACCTCAAGATTATTAATTAGCGATGCTCTGCTGGCAAGAACCTGTCAAGCAGGTAATTTCCTCTAGTTGGTTCTGTCACAAACTGTTTAAAAAACACAATCATGAATCGTATCAAAAACCTCACTGGACTCTAATTTTTCTGTCAAATTGATCCAGTCGATTTACTGTACTCCCTGTCAAGGTTTTGGGGCCTGTAAGTCACACCCAAGATTAGTTTTTCACGGCCATCGAGAACCTGTAATCAAATTGATTCAGTGGCTGATGCTTCTAACTTTATATCTCGACTAACATAACTATTTAAATAGTCTGACATACATCGCTACTCCACCACACTTCCTGTTGACCCTATCAGTGTGGAATAATTTATAGCCTTGACCATGACATTCAGAAGGCATTTCTCTATCTTTCAGATTGAGCCAGGTCTTTGTTATAGAATCCTGGACTTTCAATTAATCTTGGCTCATCTATCATATTTCTTAAACTCTTGCTATTAGTATAGTAAACCTTAAGTGAGCTCGTCTCTCGCTGCCCTCTGCTGTCTCCCTTTGCTGAACTGATCCATTGTCTTTATCTGTAATTTTATGATGAATGTCTTTTATTAAACATTTACTGTTTTCAACTCTAGTGTTGCAACCTGACTTTCCCACACACACCCATAGCTCTATCTTCTATCAGTTTAAAATCCTAGACATGTCGGCAATGGCTCTCTCGATTGAGTTGGCAAGTGCTACAACTCCTGCCCCAAAGAGATGTATCCCATCCCTTGCATACGTATCATATTTGCCATAAAAGTTGTCCCAGTTGACAATAAAAGGGATTGCAAGTTCCTTGCAGTATCTGTCTAGCCAGCAATTTGCACCAATTGCCCTAGACAACCATTCATTGCCCACTCCCCTTCTAGACAAGATGCTACATATGATTGGAACCTCTCCCTTAGACCTAATTGAATCTATAGCTGACCTGTACTTACCTAGTAATTCTTCTCTCCTACCCTTCCCGATATCATTTCCACCAGCACTGATATAGATAATGGGCTTGTTCCCATTACCTGACAGGTTATCCAACCTGTTGACTATGTCACCAACACCAGTTCTAAGGAAGCACACTCTCTCGCCTTCTTATTCCTATTACAGAAAGCACGGTCCAAATGTCTTACCTGTGAGTCACCAACCATAAGAATTCGCTTACCTCTACAAGCATGGGAAGTAGTACCTTTAGTTTAACTGACCACTGAAGTACTCATCCTGAGGAACAGAGAAGCAGTTTCCTACCTTCAAATCTTCTGTATTTGCTTTCCTTATTTTCATATTTCTCCCATTACTGGGAACCACTTTGCAATTGTAGCAGGTGCTGGACTGCACCTCACTTCTGGTAGCCTTTTCGACCTCCCCCACCTTCAGCCTCCTCGCAGTGAGTGACAAAATATTCGTGAAGCTTGTTCGTCTTCCTCTACGAGTGCAGTCTGGACAAAAGTAAGGAAACAGAGTGGCAGATAGGTTATAACCTTTGATCAATATTTCACTGTCAAAATGATCCTGTATGTGGGTCTCTGTGAAAGCCGCAAACATTGCATTTGACTCTGTGAGCAGCCCTTGATGTAAGGTATTTTGTTATTTGTTGATAGCTTTAGACCCTGTATGGTCGCAAAGATAAATTTTGTTATATTGATTGAATTTAGGGGGACTTTGCTGGTATTAATATCTGTTGTTCTGGAGTGAGGACAATGACTGTACAAATATTCTCCATGAATTTAAGAAAGTTGCTGTCTGAAAATTATAATCAGTATCAACCCACTTGTTATGCTTTGTACATTATTATAACACTCCCACAGTAACTACTTTATTTTATATAGGCCTTTTGTAAATCATCTCTCAATTTAGTTAGTTTACATATTTTTGTATACTCCAAGCTGTACATTATTTATTATTGCAATAAGTTTCAGAAGTGAATTCTGATGAACCTGATTAATTTTACACTGAAACATTGAAAGTATTTCATTACGTCCTTCGACATTGAAAATCTTTCACGCCTAATATGAAAGAAATTTTTACATGCTTATTTTTGGGCTTGATTAACATTTAAATTCAAAATCTTATCTATACTGACATTCACTGCAAAGACAGTGAAGCTGTAACATAGAAATAAAACTAATAGATTAAGTTATAAATAACCTAAGCATCCATATATTAAATATTTCTTATCTTGTGCTACAGATTTTGTCTTCGAAAAGGATAAAGATTATTGTACCATGAAAAATGGAGAGAGGCGCCGCTGTGTCAGTATTACCTCGTGTCCATCAGCTCTGCAGTCATTCCGTGTTAATCCACCAGAAAACTGCGGCTTCGCTGGAACAGTTCCTCTCGTCTGCTGCAACAATGTTACAGGTAAATTTATTGAGAATTTCTAACTAAACTTGTTCTATAATGTTTTCAGTTTACATTTTTGAATTGTACGAACTTGATAATGTAGATACTTTTATCACTGTGCTGATAACACTGATATTTCCTTCACTGTGCTGATAACACTGACATCTTCACTGTGCTGATAACACTGACATCTTCACTGTGCTGATAACACTGATATTTCGTTCACTGTGCTGATAACACTGATATTTCGTTCACTGTGCTGATAACACTGATATTCCTTCACTGTGCTGATAACACTGATATTTCCTTCACTGTGCTGATAACACTGATATTTCGTTCACTGTGCTGATAACACTGATATTTCCTTCACTGTGCTGATAACACTGATATTTCGTTCACTGTGCTGATAACACTGATATTTCCTTCACTGTGCTGATAACACTGATATTTCCTTCACTGTGCTGATAACACTGATATTTCCTTCACTGTGCTGATAACTTATGAACCTCCTTCATTGTGATACTGTTTTGTTCCATTTCTCCAGTGTTCTGATAATCCACACACATTTCTTCCACTGTTCTGATAATCCACGCATTTCCTCCACTGTCCTCTGATAATCCACGCATTTCCTCCACTGTCCTCTGATAATCCACGCATTTCCTCCACTGTCCTCTGATAATCCACGCATTTCCTCCACTGTCCTCTGATAATCCACGCATTTCCTCCACTGTCTTCTGATAATCCACGCATTTCCTCCACTGTCCTCTGATAATCCACGCATTTCCTCCACTGTTCTCTGATAATCCACGCATTTCCTCCACTGTTCTCTGATAATCCACACATTTCCTCCACTGTTCTCTGATAATCCACGCATTTCCTCCATCATCCTCTGATAATCCACGCATTTCCTCCATCATCCTCTGATAATCCACGCATTTCCTCCATCATCCTCTGATAATCCACGCATTTCCTCCATCATCCTCTGATAATCCACACATTTCCTCCATCATCCTCTGATAATCCACACATTTCCTCCACTGTTCTCTGATAATCCACACATTTCCTCCACTGTTCTCTGATAATCCACACATTTCCTCCACTGTTCTCTGATAATCCACGCATTTCCTCCACTGTTCTCTGATAATCCACGCATTTCCTCCACTGTTCTCTGATAATCCACGCATTTCCTCCACTGTTCTCTGATAATCCACACATTTCCTCCATCATCCTCTGATATCTTAGACACTTCATTCACTGAAGTTTAATAATTAAGACTCTTCACAGAACACTAATAACCAGGAATTTTTCTACTGTGTTCTGAACAATACAAATCCTCCATTATACAAATTAAAACTAAAACACAACTTTCCATGAATACAATGAAACAAAAGACCAGTTCCTTGTATCAAGAATCCCTCACCAGCACCCAGGATCCCTCACCAGCACCCAGGATCCCTCACCAGCACCCAGGATCCCTTACCAGCACCCAGGATCCCTCACCAGCACCCAGGATCCCTCACCAGCACCCAGGATCCCTCACCAGCACCCAGGATCCCTCACCAGCACCCAGGATCCCTCACCAGCACCCAGGATCCCTCACCAGCACCCCGGATCCCTCACCAGCACCCAGGATCCCTTACCAGCACCCAGGATCCCTCACCAGCACCCAGGATCCCTCACCAGCACCCAGGATCCCTCACCAGCACCCAGGATCCCTCACCAGCACCCAGGATCCCTCACCAGCACCCAGGATCCCTTACCAGCACCCAGGATCCCTTACCAGCACCCAGGCATGATAATTCAACACCCTGTTAAATTACTATACTATTAAGATATTAACAGTTGCAAACTCGTATGATAACCTTCTACTGGGCTGTATATATGTGTTGAATTTTTGAAGGCGATCAGAACAACCAGTCTCCACCTCTCACATGGAAAGAAAACATGAGTGATGGTTGCAGCACTGATGCACGTGTCACCCACGTATGCAAGTTTACCCATGAATCTTGCTTAAGATTCATTACATAAGTCCTGGAAACCGACTAAATAAGAAGTTCTCGTGTAATGAACAAAGTTGATAATGATAAGAATAATTGTATTGGGAATGGGCCGAAAAATAGGACAGTTTCCCATCATTAAACTTAAAAACGCCTTAAAACCTGGGATTTTTTTTTTCTTTTCCAGCATTTATTTCTAATTACTATTCTACTTAAAATTCTCTATAATCCTGTAAAACAAAAATTTAAATCCAGTTTGGAAAATTGGCAAAAGAATGACAAATTGACACCCAAAATACTTAAAATTAATACACTAATACTCACCATTAAGGTTCACTAGTTATAATTTGCTGACCATTATAGATGCATATTTTTATGACATTTGAAACGATTCCCATAATAAAACCTGGCAAATTGAAATTTACACAGTTTAAAGTGAGTGACAAGTTGTGGTTTATTAAAGGTCGCCTAATGCAAAAGTTTGAAGCCAACTAGAAAAGTCATTCTCCAGTAACTGATCTGATTCTAACAATTGCAAGTTTTTTTTTTTTTTAAATTTTAGTAAAAGTTCAAATTTGCAGGTATCATCCTCATAGAAAACATCATTATTATTTGAAAGTCAATCATTAGAAGTATTCGTTATTGATTATAAATTGTCAGTATTCAGTAAAACTGGCAAATTCGGTCCTGTCTTGTGTTCAGGAAAACTTGAAGTTAATTAAATAAGTCATTGTCCAGGGATTTTAATTGTCATTTATTTTATACAAGATGAAAGGAAACTTTACTATCCTGGTCCTAACATACACAAGGTATTAAACTTTACTATCCTGGTCCTAACATACACAAGGTATTAAACTTTACTATCCTGGTCCTAACATACACAAGGTATTAAACTTTACTATCCTGGTCCTAACATACACAAGGTATTAAACTTTACTATCCTGGTCCTAACATACACAAGGTATTAAACTTTACTATCCTGGTCCTAACATACACAAGGTATTAAACTTTACTATCCTGGTCCTAACATACACAAGGTATTAAACTTTACTATCCTGGTCCTAACATACACAAGGTATTAAACTTTACTATCCTGGTCCTAACATACACAAGGTATTAAACTTTACTATCCTGGTCCTAACATACACAAGGTATTAAACTTTACTATCCTGGTCCTAACATACACAAGGTATTAAACTGTACTATCCTGGTCCTAACATACACAAGGTATTAAACTTTACTATCCTGGTCGTAACATACACAAGGTATTAAACTTTACTATCCTGGTCCTAACATACACAAGGTATTAAACTTTACTATCCTGGTCCTAACATACACAAGGTATTAAACTTTACTATCCTGGTCCTAACATACACAAGGTATTAAACTTTACTATCCTGGTCCTAACATACACAAGGTATTAAACTTTACTATCCTGGTCCTAACATACACAAGGTATTAAACTTTACTATCCTGGTCCTAACATACACAAGGTATTAAACTTTACTATCCTGGTCCTAACATACACAAGGTATTAAACTTTACTATCCTGGTCCTAACATACACAAGGTATTAAACTTTACTATCATGGTCCTAACATACACAAGGTATTAAACTTTACTATCCTGGTCCTAACATACACAAGGTATTAAACTGTACTATCATGGTCCTAACATACACAAGGTATTAAACTGTACTATCCTGGTCCTAACATACACAAGGTATTAAACTTTACTATCCTGGTCCTAACATACACAAGGTATTAAACTGTACTATCATGGTCCTAACATACACAAGGTATTAAACTTTACTATCCTGGTCCTAACATACACAAGGTATTAAACTGTACTATCCTGGTCCTAACATACACAAGGTATTAAACTGTACTATCCTGGTCCTAACATACACAAGGTATTAAACTGTACTATCCTGGTCCTAACATACACAAGGTATTAAACTGTACTATCATGGTCCTAACATACACAAGGTATTAAACTGTACTATCATGGTCCTAACGTACACAAGGTATTAAACTGTACTATCCTGGTCCTAACATACACAAGGTATTAAACTGTATCATGGTCCTAACATACACAAGGTATTAAACTGTACTATCATGGTCCTAACATACACAAGGTATTAAACTTTACTATCCTGGTCCTAACATACACAAGGTATTAAACTGTACTATCATGGTCCTAACATACACAAGGTATTAAACTGTACTATCCTGGTTGTAACACAAAGGTATTAAATGGTAATATCCTGGCCCTAACAGACACAAGGTATTAATGTACTATCCTGGCCCTAACACACACATGGTATTAAACGGTACTATCCTTGCCCTAACACACACATGGTATTAAACGGCACTATCCTGTCCCTAACAGACATAAGAAAATAAAGAAGGAACACTGCAACAGGCCTACTCACCCATGCGGAGCAGGTCCATGTCCCTTCCCCCCCGGATAAGCAGATTTACACATACAAGAAGATATTACTGCCATAAATGTACGCCTTGACACCTTAAAAAAGAAACAACTTTATACAATGCAAGAACTATACATGCCAGATAGAGAACATCCTATACAAGTGGTAAATACCACGGATTATACTATCACAACTCCTCCTCACAGGACTCAACGAATGACTCTCCCACAGAGGGTTCGTCGTTTTATTCATAAAGATGATTACCCTCGACCCATGATATTGATCAACCTCCCTGATGAAGAAGATTGGGTACCACCAGAACCCTTCTATGTATACTGAGAAAATCATCGCCCCCAATTAGGGAGACATCATATATAACTTTCTAATGTAAAAATTATGCTATTTGCTATGGCTGGACACCACCTGTAAGAAGCCATTGTCACGAAATTTATAAACTGGCCAGAAAATTATGCCTTCCTTGTCGCATAAACATCCGTTGTGCAATCGCAAAAAAAAAAAAAAAAAAAAAAAAAAAAAAAAAGCAATTGCAACTTGTATAATTACTACCAATTCTGAGTCATGTACTTATAA